TCTCTCTCTCTCTCACTCTCTCTCTCTCTCTGTGTGTCTCTCTCTCTTTCTCTCTCTCAAAACGCACTAGCAAACGTTAAGTCGGCAAGCATGTTATAAGCTGACAAAACTAATTCCAGTTGTTCTTATATTAATATGTATCTTTTCCTGCTTGTTTTTTTTTAAACATTTAGAATGTGAATGATAGGACAAAATAAATCAGGAGCACATGCAACCAATTCAACATAATAAAGCAATAATACCTTTGGGAGAGATATATCTGAACAATTGGTATACAGTCTGCTCTGTGAACTTCCTGCATATTATTCCTTTTTGATAGGTCTAATTCTTTATTAGACCAGACCACATCCGATCAGGTTAGACCACACTTAAATACCTAGGTTGGATAAATGGTTAATTCTCTCTAAGGAAACGCCAAAGTAAAAGTTTTGAGAGGATTCCTTCGGGTAGTTTTCGGGTGTCAGTTGTAAATCCTATTTCTTTATTGTCGCCTTTGTTATTTCTATCTTTCTGAGCGACTCTTCCGAGGCACTATGCTTGTTATCGTGTCGGGGAGCTTCTCCATCTCAAGCCGAAGAGCATTTGTACTGAGAGAGCTCTGATTAGAACAGATGGAGCACTATATGTTTCATTATTAGTAAGGCGAAGCGTAGAAAGTGTTTGTTTGAGAGGGGGAGGAGGGGTTTATTTTCTTTTTTTATATAGGGGGGGGGGGAGTTGTGGGCATGGAGGAGAAAGGCAACGGGCCCTGAAGGTTTCCCCACACATCTTCCCTTCGGGAAAACAAGACGTATTTTAAAAAATCTCACAACGTACTGTAACGAAGCAGGCTGATCGAATATTGTTGGGACAAATTTTGCCAAGGACACAGTCATCATTACAGGGCTAGATGCCTTACAATCCCACTACAGTTGTCTCCTGTGGGGTTTCGGTACAGAAAATGGGTCAAGCAACAGTGAGAAAAATAACGCCTTCCGCCTCTCCTCCTCTCTCGCTATCCCTCCGCCCTCACCCCCTTTCGAAAGCGACATTAAAGACTTCCCCCCCC